TATATATATATATAGCTTTATGTCCTTTTAGTGGCTGCTTTTGAGCTTTGAGGTATATATTGAGCCCCAAACTTACGTTGGTGTAATACGATTGAGAGTAATTTGTTGCACCTCATTAAGAGCCTTCTCTGAACCAGGCGCTGTGCTGAAGGCCAGGAGAATGAAGATGACTTTGAATGTCATAGTCTGGTAAGAGAGAGGCATGTCAGTCTATGATCAGCGTTTCCACCATACCTTTAGCAGCAGCACAGAGGAGCTTCTACTCAAAAAGGGGTTGGGTGGGATGAGGGAGACAGGAGGAAGCTTCAGCAATCTGAACAGCACTGACTGAGCCTCCATTCTGAGCTAGACACAGCGCAAGGTTCTGCACAGACCGAGGGGGACCCAAACATGTCTGGCTGTTGCCCTCTGGAACCTGCTGTCTAACTGAGGAAATAAAGTTAAACAAATATAATCCCAAATATATACAAAAGTACACATTCAAATGAATTCTAGTAAAGAAAAAAATGAGAGAAGAACAGGAGCAAACCCTCAGGGACACTCCAAGAAATGGACATTTAGGCTCAAAGAACATATTACAAGTGCTAATTATCACTACAATGGCAATGGTATTACAATACAGTAATGTTTCACATTAACATGTTGTACACCTTAAATTTGTATAATGTTATATGTCAAGCATACTTCAACTTTAAAAAATATAAACTTAAACAATGAGGAGTCAGATGAGTGAAGAGGGAGGGAAAGAAAGTTCTAGTTTAGAAAAAAAAAAGCCATTCCTGAATCTGATCAAACCAACTTACAATAAACACAGAGGATGGAAGAACAGGCTTAATAGAGGAACAAATGAAATTAGCAAAATACAGATAGGAAACTCCAGGAAATTCACATGATTCTTTAAATAAGATCAAAACAAAAATTGTAAGGACAATAAAAAATGAAGGGGGAATTTACAGAGTAAAGAAAATTTAAGGCACATATCAACAAATCACAATATGCAGACCTTCTCAGGATCCTAATTTAAACAGATTGTTAAATAAGAAAATGAGAAGAAATGTATGAGACAATTGGGTACTTAAACACTGCTGGATATTTGTCAGACTGAATAGTTTGATAATATTAAAAATTATTTAAAATTATTTTTAGATATGAAAAAGATATTGTAATTATACTTAGAAAAAGTCTACCCCTACCCCCAAGTTTATAAATAAAATGACATGAAGTCTGGTAGCCCCTTCAAAATAAACCAGGGGAATCGGTGGTGGTTTATTTTTATTTTTTTAACTATATTTTTAATGATTTCAGAGAGGAGAAGGGAGAGGGAGAGAGACAGAGAGAAACATCAGTGATGAGAGAGTCATGGATCAGCTGCATCTTGCATGCTCCCTACTGGGGATCGGGCCCACAACCAGGGCATGTGCTGTCACCAGGAATTGAACTGGGACGTTCTGGACTCAACCGCTGAGCCATGCTGGCTGGACTAGGTTGTGATTTAGATTAAATGGGACTGGCTAGAAATCAATAGTTGTTGAAGCTGGAATGATGGGTTCATGGGGGTTCGTGATATTATTGTCTGGTTTGTACATGTTTGAACTTTATCACAATATAACATTTTCAAAAACCAAGAAACCAAATAAGATAATTATATTGTAATAAATGCTAAGAAGGAAAAATAGTGATAATTAAAGTTTTCCCATTTGAAGTTCTGTCCTAGCCTAAGGCACTGGGATCAGTTCAGGCTTACTAGGTCAGTTCCTCCTTAAATTACTGGGGACTAGCCAACCAGGTGGGGCCACACCCAAGTGGAAAGCTGGAGTGCTTTTCTGGCTGAATTTCTATGGGTTGATTCAGTTTCTAACCTGAAAGAAAGGAGCCAGGAATTCCAACCATTATCTGCCTAATCTAAAACCATTTGGTCACACCCTGATCTAGCCTCTGCTTCTAGACTTTTAAGTGCTTTTACTTTAGGTAATTATTTCCTTGAAGGTGTGGTTGAAGCACAGATTCCTGAAGGTCTGGGGTGCGGTCTCATAATTTATTTTTTCAGTCATTTCTTCAGTAACCTGAAGCTGAGCCCTTGAAGACCACAATTTGAATATAGTACATGTAGACAAAATTAAACTGATCTGGGCTCCAAGGTCCTGAGACTAATGGGCCAAACCATTTTCCCAGGGCACAGAAAGCCGGATGCCAGTGCTGGCATATTGTCTGCTAATGTTTTCTTTAGCAGCTCTGGCTCCTTAGAATGCCATGGAAATATCTGTGAATTCTTCAGTCTCATCTCTTGTCACACCCTGCCTCCAACATTATGCTCCTGCGATTCCACGTGCTTGTAGTTCCTTCTGCATTCATCAGTCTATCATTTGCCTTAATTTTTTGGCTCTTGCAGCTCCTATTCTAAATGGCCAAACCCTTTCCTTCTACCCGGCTCACCAGTACTACAAGCTTATTTGTGTTTAGAACTAAATCTTCCAGGAGGGATTATGTTATTCAAGCCCTACAATTTAAATCCAGTCTCCCAGTGAGTGACACACTGGGGCATCAATCAGTTATAAAACACCTCCTAATCTTTTTTTTCTATTCCTTTCACAATAACATCATTCATCGACTCTATTAACTGACAAATGTTTAAACCTGCTCTGTTCAATTGTAACTTGTCTGCAAGAGTTTTTTTACTTCCAGTTTTCTCCCAAGTCTTTATTCCTGAAGGATAAAAATGTCTCTTTTTAAAAGTATTTCCAGGGATGTTATTTACCCAATAATTCAAAGCTCACCTAATAGACAAGATAGGGGATAAAACTGATAAAATGATCCCATAGTCAGAGAATGGAGGTGGGGCAGGAAGAGTGGAAAGAAAAGAGCTCTTTGGAGAAACAGGAAGTAGAGGGAGACATTTGCTTATAAAAAGAGAAATCGGGCTAGAAACCGTCCGGTTAAAAGGAGAGACCTGCAGGCCTCCTGGGCACTGGCGGCCCCGCCTTCCTCGGAGCGGCCCTGGAAATGGCGAGCCCGAGCTCTCAAGGCAGCGGGAAGGTAAGCTTAGCTCGAATAGGATTCCTTTTCCCGCAGGTTCGCGTCTCAAAGCCTTTCTGCAGCTCGCGTATGTTCCCCTCTCGCCCTGAACCTTAATTTCTGGAGATAAGAAATCTCCACCTTGCATCCCCTCCTTGGGGGAGTGATTGGTTTTCTTCCACGTGATTGTGGCTCTGATCTTTGGGTGAGTAAAAGGGAGACTCAAAGGCTCTTTCCATAGTGCAGAGTGTGAGGTTTATTTTGCAGAAAGGCGTGCTGTGAGTGGACAAGATAAAACTGGTAAAGAAGTGCAAAGAGAACGTGGGGAAGGGTAATGTGGAAAAACCCAGAAAGTGGAGTGACGATCAGTTAGCTTTCTTTTCTCCAGGAGTGAGATGTAATGTACTCTCACTGGCTTTGGGATCCACTGGGTTTCCAGACTGGGCTTGGGCCACCCTGGACTGGAGGGGAGGACAAGAGGCTTCCTGGGTATTTTCAGGGCTGCTGTACCAGGCTAGAGGACTGAATTGGCCCACATTAAGTGTACGGTTATAGGCCCGTCATATAGCTGCTTTGAGCCCCCATCTATCTCTAGAGTGGAGTAATATTTCCCCAGTCATGTCGATGCTTTTGTGAAGCTGACCATTGAATGTGTGTGAAAGTGCTTTGAAAAAGTGGCATACAAATGCAAAATCCCTATATGCAAGCGAGGAGATGGCGAGCACGAGGAAGCCGTTGAGATGATTTAAATAGGGAAAGGGGGTGGCCGCACCAGATCCCGCTTGGCTGCCGTAGGGGGCAAGTATTACAATCGGGCCGAAATGGAGTTTATTCACCGTTGGTCTTGAGAGGAAAAGCTAAATTGAGAGATTTACTCAAGCATGTGTTACTCTGAGGCATTGGTCATTTAATTTCTGAGACCCAGTTGCCCAATTTGTAAAATAGGGAAAGTAATAAATTACTACAAATATGCTATGAGGATTAAATGAGAAATACAGGAAGCATCTAGCACAGCGCATGTTTACTGTACAAAAACAATAAATGTTACTTCTTATCTGTGCACTTCACCTTCCCGTCATTAGGTCATTAAAGAGCATTGAGGGCCCAATCTGTGACGGGCACTGTGTATTACTGTGACTGCAACGGGGGTAAAACAGATACGTGCTCCCCCCTCAGGCCCTGGGCTGAAATGAGGTCAGCATGGCCGGAGCTCAGAAAGCTCTTAAGCTGGAGTAGCCGGCAGGGGGCCACACTGCCTAGGAATGTGCAGGCTACACAATGGAAGTTTTGTCATTTACCAGAAAAGCAATGGTAAGCGATGGAAGTATTTTAAGGAAGGAGAGCAATCTGAAGAGTGGAATTAGAATGGATTTTGGAATAATAGGAGATTTTTGCATCTGTCAGTGAGAGTTATGATAGCTTGAATTGTGAATCATGTGATGGAAGATGGGAAGGTAGCAACACATTTCATACAGATTTAGGAGATAAAATGAAAGTATTTAGTGTTTTAGCTGTTGGAAAGAAAGGCCATGAGGAAAATGGTTTCCACAGACCTCTTCCATTTGTAAATGTTTTTGTCCATTTTCTCATTGTTTTTTCTTTTTAATCTAGTAAAGGGTCTACTAATTTACATCAGATTTGAGGAAATCTCAGGTCCTTATTCCATCCACCTTCTCAGTGTCTTACTCATTAGTTGTGAGTTGAAGGTAAGCAGTTTAATTGTATACATCAAATGAGAATTTGTGATTGACCCTTCCTTTTTCAGGATTTCTTTGAGGATAAATTAGATGAACAAAGTGTGATTCTCACGTTGGTTCCATTTAATGAGGAATGTAATGAACACCAAATGGAACCAAGTGTTTCTTCAACCTCAGAAGGCAAATTGACGACTCCTAGGACAAACAATAAAGGTAAGAGGACAAGGATTGCTCTAGGAAGCCCAGGAAAATTGATTTTTCTTTTCTATTCTTTGACCTTCCAAGTCCTAGCTTAAGTCTCACCTCAGTTGCCTGTGGTAAGAGATTTCTCAAACTCCCATGCTTGTCATTTGCTAAACACTATGTACTGCTTTGCTTTTAAGACCAAAATAAAATAATAAAAAAATAATCAGCATGTGGAGTGCTTTGGACGGAGTGTAGTCTTATGGGGCAGCTAGATAGAAGTTAAAATTTCCAACCCATGAAGCTCAACCTTCTCTTCATTTTGGTTAATACATTCCTTTTTTTTAAATTTTATTTTTGTTTAAAATATTACAGATGTCCCTTTTTCTCCCCAATGACCCGTTCCACCCCATCCCTTCCCCCTCCCCAGTCCCTCTCCCCACCATTGTCCATGTCCTTGGGTTGTGCATATATGCTTGTTAATACATTCTTTACATACCTCTTACAAAGACTAATTTTTCCCCAGCTTTACTGAAATACTGACACATAACACTGTAATTTTAAGGTGTACAATGTGATGATTGGTATATGTATATGTTATAAAATGATTACCAGAATAAAGCTCACACAGTTAGTTTTTTTCACCCTGTGGTAAGAACACCTAAGATTTTACTCTCTTTTTTCTTAATTCTCACCTAAGGGTATGTTTTTATTGATTTCTAGAGAGAGAGGAAGGGAGAGGGGGGAGAGAGACATCGATCAATTGCTTCTTGTGTGCACTGGGACCAGGGATTGAACCTGCAACCTGGGTGTGTGCCCTGACCGGGAATGGAACCTGAGTGTAGGATGATGCTCCAACCAACTGAGCCACACTGGCAAGGGCAAGATTTACTATCTTAGCAACTTTCAAGCATACAATATACTATTGTTAACTATAGTCACCATGCTGTACATTAGATCCCCAGAACTTATTCATCTTATAACTGAAAATTTGTACCCTTCGATCAACATCTCCCCATTGCTCTCACCTCAAAACCTCTGGCAACCACCACTCTACTCTGTTTCTGTGAGTTCTGCTTTTTTTAAAATAAATATATCTTTATTGACTTCAGAGAGAGGAAAGGAGAGGGAGAGAGAGAGAGAGATAGAAACATCAATGATGAGAGAATCATTTACCGCCACCTCCTGCACTCCCCTGACGGTATCAAGCCCACAACCCGGTCATGTGCCCTGACCAGGAATCAAGCCCCGATGGCCTGGATCCTAGGTCGACGCTCAACCACTGAGCCTTCCCCGGCCGGGCTAAGTGCTGATTTTTTAGAGTCCACATATAAGTGAGATCATATAGTATTTGGAAGATAAAATCAACATCTAATATTTTGCTGGGTGAGTAATTACTGATCAAATAGCTAGCATCTCTTAATATCATGACCCTATATGTCCTCAGTCCTTCATATAAAGGCATTGAATAAGTACTTCCAGAACTATTTTTTTTTTCAGGGTCAATAATAAGGACTTAAAGATGAAGTAGATAATGACAAGTTACAGCCAAGTAGATTGAGCACAGGCAAAGTGCTGTAGAGAAAAATAGGGCAGCCTGATCACTGTTGGTTTGGGTGCTTTCTTTGATTTCTATAGGTCCAAAAGCTAGATTAGATATTTTGGAGGAGCAATCCAATGTAATGTTCTGTTCAGGTGGTGTTGATGGTCATAAAAACAACAGGTTGCTGTATGTAGTGTAAAAAGCATGGGATTTTTTTTTTTTTTTAATAGTATCTTTTATTGATTTCAGAGAGGAAAGGAGAGGGAGAGAGACAGAAACATCAATGACGAGAGTCATTGACAGGCTGCCTCCTACACCCCCGACTGGGGATCGAGCCCGCAACCTGGGCATGTGTCCTGACCGGGAATCAAACCCCGATCACCTGGATCCTAGGTCGACACTCAACCGCTGAGCCAAGCCCGGCTGGGCAAGCATGGGAATTTGAATGTCAAACTTACATTTGAGACCCAAGTCTGCCAAGTCCTTTATTCTTATTCTGTTACCTTATCTGTAATACGAAGGAAAATATTTGGTACACATATGCACAAATTGGGTTGTAAGAAATAAGTGAGAACTTTGTAAAATTATAAAAGAATCTTACAAATTTTAAATTATTACTACTTTGGTTTCTTTCTATTCTCAGTTAATCTTCCTCAAACAAATGGACAATTCCAAGATCGCCCCAAACCAATCCTTCCCTTGCCGACCACTCTGCCATCAGTTCATAAAGTGCGTTTCGACACTTTGCAGAACTGGTGCCAACAACTGAATCTGAGCACTGATGGCAAGGTGAGTACCTTGGCGAGAATCTCTGCTGCTCAGAGCAGATATTGGAAACTTCGTCAATATATCAACTTGTACTTTTTCTCCCCTTCTTAATTTCCTTAGAAAATGGATGTTTATCTGAGGCTCAAGGAACATGCTTATTCTGAAGAAAAACAAGTGAGTGGGAACTATGGAGACAGTGTAAATGTGAGTTCTGACTGAATTTTCCCCCTTCCCCCAGGATCTCTGCATATGTTGTACCTCTAAGCAAGGTCTCTCAACCAAGGCTATTGACATTTTGAGCCAAATAATTTCTTTTTGTTTTGGGGGCTGCCCTCTGTGTTTTAGGTTTTGTAGCAGACTAAACATCCCTGGTCTCTACCCACTAGATGTTGGTAGCAACCCCCCCGCCCCACAGTTTTAGCAATCGACTTCTCCCAGTTGAGAACCCTACTCTAAGGGAGCTAGCATTCCTAAACCTTTCCCACGCTGACCCCCCTGGGTCAATGCATAAAGAATGATGACAATGACACAAGTCATCATGTCAGGAGCAGTTCACGAAAAACTCACCGTGAATCCCATTTGCAGAGTATTGCTGAAACACCACAGGAGGCCACACTGCAGTCATGTTCTGGGAAATGCAAGAGAGCAAGGAGTGAGAAAAGTCAGAAGAGTAAGAAGAGACAGGAATGGACCAATATAGTTGAAGTGACCAATACAGTTGAAGTGACAACTTCAGCTCAGGAGGCCATGTTGGCAGCGTGGTCAAGAATTGCTGCAAGAGCCGTGCAACCTAAGGCTGCGAATTCCTGTTCCATTCCTATTTCTGCTGAGAATTTTCTGCTGCAAACATCTGGTAAGATCAACGTTAAACAGTGAATACCATTCCAGGGAAAGAAGGTTAACATTTATTAGTCCAATGCTGAAAAGTAGTACAAGGAAAACAGTTAGTTAAAATATCTGTAGATTGAATATTAGGTTCATAGAGGACTTTTGATTGATAGTCAGCTTTTGCCTGGATGAATTTCTAAGCCAGGTAATTGAGTTGTGACCCTTTCAAATCACTAAGCAGAGTGCAAGGAGGGAAGAAAGCATAATCTTGTAATGTGGTCAGCCACAGCCTAAGGTCTTCAGCTTTTTCTCTCCTTTCCCTCAAGGCTTTCTTCATAGCATGGTGAGTAAGAGTGTGGGGATTTGAACAGCCCTGGTTCAAGTTCTTGTCTAACGACTTCCTTGGTATGTGGCATTGGCAAGTCACTCAGCGTAAACCCCGGTATCCTGATTTATAAAATAAAGATTACATCTATTCAGTCTCATAGAATGATTGGGAGATTTTTGGGATACAACTTGGTACATTAAAAGCAGGCAATAATAATCAAAATGTTTGGGGGCCTTGTCCTCTTAAGAAATCTTGAAAATAACTTAGCTGTGACTTCCAACTCTTCCTCCTTGATATTTTGTTTTCATCTCTGTTAGCAAACCCTAGCTCAGGTCAACACAAAGTGACCCTTGTCCTTTTTGCTTGAGTTATTTTCCTCTCCAACTCATTTCCAAAAGTGTTCTGGATCCTCTTTTTATCCAGGGCTGACTTGTATATAGGAATGTGCATTGTTTGTTACACAAGAAACCCAGCCAAAAGGAAGGCAGAAGCTGAGATCGGCCCATTGTCTGCTCTCCAAGCTGCACTCCCTCCTGTGAAAAGGAATGGGCCCCCTTTGCTAATTTCCAAAAGTGCCTTCCAGCCACCAAGCTGTCTCTGAAGGACTGTTTACCCAAAGATGACACCTCTAATTTTCGTTAATGTGCCATATGACCTAGTAGCATCTGATACTAATTCATCCTTTTAGTATCTCTCCATTTAGCAGTTATTAAGCACCTATGATCCAGGAACGTGCCTAGTTATTGGATATCTAGTGCTAAACATAATCTATTGTTTTACAGTCTGACGGGAATTTTTATGAATATTTAAGCTCACAGTGCCTGCTTCTTTCTCTGTTTCAGACACTTGATATTTTACCTTGTTTTTTTCTTAAATATCCATCTCCCCAATTAGATTGTTCCTTGGGCTTTTAAACAAAGATCCTTTTTCCTGTTTTTATATTTGAAGCAGTACAATGTAGTAGCTAGACAAATTTGTTGTGAATCAGAATACCTGGATCCGTGTCTTGGTTCGGGGAAAATTATTTAGCACTGCAAGCTTCAGTTACCTCAGCCATAAATAAAAAAAGTAAATAGAAGGTAAATATTAATAATGTTCTTAATAAATGTATGAATACATGTAAACCACTTAGCAATATTCTGGACACAAAGCAAGCATTTCTAAAACTTAATTGTTATTATTCCTAATGTTATATAATTTGTGAAGTTAGATTATCACGTCTTTTGGTCTACCTTTTTCATGATTTTCATTCAGTTGATCCATCAACAGAATATAAGAGCAAAGTCAAGAGTGATATGCTGAGAGGTTGAATGGAGTTGAATTACTTGATCTTAGTTGTTTATATTTGTTTCTCTTTCCTCTCCAGGTGTCAGGTGGTGTGTGGTCCATGGCAGACCTCTCTTGGCAGACAAAATGGGTTGGGTTCGCCTGCAGTTCCGTGCAGGTCATGCCTGGGTGCCTGACACTCCCACGAAGATGATCTCTCTCTTACTGTTACCAGCCTGCACTTTCCCATCTCCAGACCTAGAAGATAATATGTTATGCCCTGAATGTGTTAAGAGGTAACTTAAATATTTTTCTATATGGTACATAAAAAAGTAGATGTCTAAATGGGTTTCTGAACAGCTTAGTAGGAGAAAACAGAAGGTAAACATACTGTTCTATTAATTTGCTTTATAGATCAGGCAAAGATAGGAAGGAAAAAGAACTTGGTGTAGTGGATTAAACCTCAGATAAATGTGGCTTCTTAGCAATCTTAAAGTATCTGACAAGTTAGAATATTAATTGCCTCAATTTTAGAGACCTGTTTTAAGAAAAAACAGACTTCTTAACATGTCAGATATTTAGCTGTGGATAAGAAAAATGAGTATGGCAAAATCCATATAGCATGCTGAAATGAAAAGAGATGCTGAAANTTTAGCTGTGGATAAGAAAAATGAGTATGGCAAAATCCATATAGCATGCTGAAATGAAAAGAGATGCTCTGAAAATATATGGGTAGTATATATAATATGGGTAGTATATATATTGAGACAGCTTAGAGAAACTTCAGAAAGGATTACCTGTACTGAGGAAGACCTTATCGGTTGGAAAACAATAATTTGAACATTTTGGTAGTGGGAATAGCCCATATAAATACCTGGAAATAAAAGAGCATGACATAGTTAAAAATTGCAAATAGGTCAATATGATCGAAGCTTGTATTGACATAAGTCTAGGTAAGGGGAAAGTAGACCACTGACAGGTTTCTATCTGCAATAAAGGTCTCATATTATCTTGTGAGTCATAATTTCTCAGTTACTTTTGGGACATAGATTCCCTTGAGAATATAATGATAGTTATACACCCACTGTTCAGGAAAATATACATTGGACATACACAAGCAATGCTTTAGATTTTCTATAGACTATAGACCTCCTAATGGTCACCCATTAGTAACAGCTTTTGCTGATGGAATTGGGTGGAGGTGATGTGAGGTGTGGGTATGGAGGGAAGCTAAGGTTTTTTCTTTTTAAGTGGATTGAAATCCTGAAGCAGAAACTAGGTTGCAGGGTAAATAAGAGATTACTATAATAATTCTGATAAAACATAATTTATGACCTTGGCAAAGAATTTAAAGAGGAATGGGACAAATTTAAGAGATGTAGGAGTAAAAGGAATAAAGTGCTATCTTATTAGATGGAGGAAAGGTAGAAATCTGTCCAGTTTAGTGGGAAGAATGTGATACCTGGGAGATGCTTGACATGGGTCTAGAAGCCTGAGATATAAGTATGGGTTACAGGGAAATATTTTTGGGAGTCATTAGCATTTAAATTGTACATGAGAGTATATAGGAATTAACAGGGACGTAGGAAAGAACTCTAAAGAGAATCAATATGTTGATGGCAGGTGAGCAAGGAGAGTTGGAAGTACAGTTAGAAGCTGGGAAATAAGTGAGAAAAAGGAGCAGTGGGCAGAGTTTCTGGAGGAAGTGGTTGGCAGTGAGATGGACATGTAAGATTATGGATAATGCAGTGCTGTTGTTTTTTTTTTTAATTGATCTTAGAGGAAGGGGGGGCGGGGAGAGAGAAACNGTGAGATGGACATGTAAGATTATGGATAATGCAGTGCTGTTTGTTTTTTTTTTAATTGATCTTAGAGGAAGGGGGGGCGGGGAGTGTTGAGAGAAGCATCCATCGGTTGCTTCCCGCACATGCCCTCGGATCTGAAGCCCTGGCTGGGAATCAAACCCACCACCCTTAGGTGCGTGGGATGACTCTCCAACCAACTGAGCCACACTGACCAGGGCTGCAGTGCCACTGAGAATTTCAGTTTAGTCCATAATTGGTGGCCTTTCTGAGAGTAGGTTGAGACGGCCAGTAGAAGCAGGTTTGTGACAGTGACAAGTTAGGGTAGAGCAGGAGAAGGACAGGACAGGGCATATTGATAATTACAACCTGAGTGATAAGGAGGAGATAGCAGTTAGTTGAAATTAGTAATATCAAGGGAGCTTCCTTCTTTCCTCTTTTTTTTCTTAGTCTTTTTTAATGGGAAAACCATGAGCATGTGTGAACAGAAAGGGATGGGGGAGAAACTGGGAAAGGAAGGGAGAGTATAAAGTTAAAGAAGTGGAACCAACTGTGTACAGAATGTGAGGCTTGATATATATATATATTTTTTTAGAGTTTATGCCCCCCATTGGTTCTCAACCAGCGGCACCTTTTATTTTTTTATTTTATTTTTTAAAATTTTATTTTTGTTTAAAATATTACAGATGTCCCTTTTTCTCCCCAATGACCCCTTCCATCCCGTCCCTTCCCCCTCCCCAGTCCCTCTCCCCACCATTGTCCGTGTCCTTGGGTTGTGCATATATGCATATAAATTCTTTGGTTACTCTCTCCCCCTCCACCCCTAAGGCTTGATATCTTGTTTCTTTATTTACCACATAAAATTCTTTCACCTACCAATCAATATGTATATATTGATTGAGAGAGGAAGGGAGAGGGAAAGGGAAACATCAATAAGAGTCATTGATGGCTGCCTCCTGCACGCCCCTGCTGGGGATCGAGCCCAAAACCTGGGCATGTGCCCTGACCAGGAACCGAACCATGATCTCCCGGCTCCTAGGTTGATGCTCGACCGCAGAGCCACGCTGGGCTAGGCTCACCTACCATTCTTAGGGGAGGTTGAGGGTGCGGAACTCCAGAAGTGGATTCCTTGTTTTATTGGTCATTTCCAAGAGGTTGATATGGAATGATTATCTTATTCTAAGTTTTAAAAAATTCTTTTCTAACTTGTTTTATAGGAATAAAAGGATGATGGAAAGATTAGTTAAAGTGAGGAAGAAAAAGCAACCTGGTTTGGATACTCTCAATAAAGAATAAATGGTGGAGAGCTCACAGCTCAATTAACTTGTATCTTGATGATTGCTGATTTGGACATTCTCAGTGTTGCCTGATGCCTTGAATACAGATGTGAATGTCGATTCTGTACTTGAGATTTGCCCAAAAAGTGACAGCCACTGCTGCTTCAGGTACTTAGCTATATAGAATATAATTTGGCTTTGTTTTAATAGATTTTTTTTTAGCAGTTTTAGGCTTTCAGAAAATTGAGCAGAAAGTAAGAGTTCCCAAATTCTGCCCCCTCCCCCCCAACCCCCATTTCCCCTACTACCAACACCCTGCACCAGAATGGTAAATTTGTTGAACTTACGTTGACCCATCATTATCACTTAAAGCTCATAACTGACATTAGGGTTCACTCTTTGTGTCTTACATTCCGTGGGTTTCGACAACTGTCTAATGAGATGCATCCACCACTATAGAGCCACACAAAATAGCTTCACTGCCCTAAAAATTCTGTACTCTATTTGGCACTCCCTGCTCCCAGTCCCTGACCCACTGATATTTTAACTGTAACCGTAGCTTTGCCTTTTCCAAAATGTCGTACAGTTGGAATTATACAGTAGCCTTTTCATATTGACTTCTTTCACAGCAATATGCATTTAACGTTCTTCCATGTCTTTTCATGGTTTGATAACCCACTTTTTGGCACTAAATATTCCACCGTCTGGATGTGCTAGAATTTGTTTAACCATTCACATATTGAAGGCAATCTTGGTTGCTTCCAAATTTTGGTGATTATGAATAAAATGGCTTGTGTTCAGGTTTTTGTGGACATGTATTTTCAACTTATGGTTATATAGCAAAGAGCATGATTTTGGGATCTTACATTAAGAGTGATTCTTTTTATAAGAAACTGCCAAACTGTCTTCCAAAATTGGCTGTACCGTTCTGCATTCCCAACCAGCGATGAATGAGAGTTTGTATAGCTCCATGTCCTCACCAGCATATGGTGTTGTCAGTGATTAGGATTTTAGCCATTCTAACAGGTGTGTAATGGTATTTCATTGTTTTAATTTGCAATTGTTTAATTACAAATGATGTGATTTTTAATATGCTTTGTCATTTGTATATCTTTGCTGACTTGTTTGTTCAGGTGTTTTGCCCATTTGTTTTTCACTTGGCTGTTTGTTTTGTTAAGTTACTTTTAAGGTTAGTAATCTTTTATAATCTATTTAATTTTTTTTTTGACTTTTAGAGATAGAGAAGAGGCAGGGAGAGAAAGAGAAACATTGATTTATTGTTTCACTTGTTTATGCATTCATTGATATTTTTTTTTTTTGTATGTACCCTGACCAGGAATTGAACCTTGACATATCTGGATGATGCTCTAATCAACTGAGCTACTCGGCCAGGGCTTAAGTTTTAAGAGTTCTTTTTATATTTTGAGTGACATTCCTTTATCAGATAAGTCATTTGTAAATATTTTTCCTAGTCTTTGGCTTGTCCTCTCATTCCATTGATTAATTGGTATATTTAGATGGTTGATATTTAAAACAATTGATAGAGATGGATTGCAATATTTTTTATTGCCCTCATTTTTCAGTTCCTTTTTGTCTTCTCTTTCCCTTTTCTCATTTTAATTGAAGCATTTTATTAGCTGTTAATAAAATGAATACCCATTAATAGAATTAAAAAACCACATCTGGACGCAAGGGGAAAAAGCATTTAACAAAATCCAACCCCAATATTGAATACACAAAGAATAGAATGGAGCTCCGGCTGGGTAGCTCAGTTGCTGGGGCGTCATCCTGTACTCCAAAAAGTGGGTTTGATTCCCTGGTCAGGGCACATATCTAGGTTGGGGGTTCCATCCCTGGCCGGGCATTTACAGGGGGCACCGATTGATGTTTCTCTCTCACATCAATGTTTCTCGCATAAAAAAAAAAAAAAGTCAATTTAAAAAAATCCTCACCTGGTCAGCATGGCTCAATGGTTGAGCATCAACCTAGGATCCAGGAGGTCTCAGTTCAGTTCCTGGTCAGGGCACTGCCCGGGTTTCGGGCTCGATCCCCAGTGGGGGGCGTGCAGGAGGCAGCTGGTCAGTGACGACTCTCATCACTGATGTTTCTATCCCTCTCTCTCCCTCTCCCTTCCTCTCTCTGAAATCAATAAAGACATTAAAAATAAAAATTAAAAATAAACATGCTTGGGTGAGGATTAAAAAAAAAAGACTAAAATAGGACAGCCACAACACGATAAAGGTCACATGTGAAAAGCCCACAGCTAACACACTGAGTGGTGAGAGGCTGAAATTTCTCCCCCTGAAGTCAGGAACAAGACATGCCCATTTTTACCACTACTATTCGAGATGGTACTGGAAGTTGTAGCCACAGAAGTTAGGCAAGAAAAAGAAATAAAGGTCATCTAAATTGGAAATTTGCAAGTAAAACTGTCTACACAGATGCTATGACATAGAAAACTTGAGTAATTCTTCAAAAAACTGTTAGAACTAATTAACAAATACAACAGTTTTGCAGAGTATATAAATCACAAAATCAGTTGTATATGCTAGCAATGATCTGGCAAAATTAAAATGATTTCATTTCCAATAGCATCAAAAATAGCATGTAATACTATTAAAGGAATAAACTTTAAGAAGTTACAAGACATGTACACTGAAGACTGCAAAGCATCGCTGAGAGAAATTATCCCTTAGTTCATACATATGGTAAACATGAATTTCAATGTAGAAACACTCTTCTATTTTTCTAGCTTATACAATTTATTATATTTCCAAAATTTTGAAGCAAAGAAAGGTTGAAAAAATAGCAGATTTTCAACTTATCATTTCTCCCACATTTGAAAAATCTTTCCCATTTGATTTTTATTGGTTACCCTGCCACGAAGAGTAAGCAGACACATTCTTTGCCCCTAAATGCTTTACCATGCACCCTCTAAGAATAAGGACATTTTAATCAGTGTCATTATCAAAACTAAAAAATAAGCATTTTATAATAGCATCTAATATCTAGTTCATATTCAAATATGATTAATTGTCCTTAAAATATGTTTTGTACTTGTAAAATTCCAGGATTCAGCAGTTTCAGGTAAAAATCCAGGATTCAACAGTTTCAGGCATTTAATTGATTGTAATATTTTTCTAGTTCATTTTAATCAAGGATCTTTTTTTATGATATCTTTGAGGGAATAGGTCAGTTTTCTTGTACATTATAACAAATTCTGGATTGTTTTCTCATGGTGTTCTTTGACTAATTCTCTATAAACTCAAAAGTAAAACTAGAGACTTGATTAGATTCAGCTAAAACATTTTTTAGACCAGTATTTTAGCCCTGCTGGGCTTGGCTCAGCGGTTGAGCGTTGACCTACGATCCAGGCGATTGGGGTTCGATTCCCGGTCAGGGCACATGCCCGGGTTGTGGGCTCGATCAATGACTCTCTCATCATTGATGTTTCTATCTCTCTCTCTCCTTCTCCTTTCCTCTCTCTGAAATCAATAAAGATGTATTTTAAAAAAAGGAAGGAAGAATACTTATACATGAGATTAACAACATATTTCATTGCATGAGAAGGTACATAATTCAGATTGAGTCATATTAAAAATGCTATGACTTTCTTACAGTGATGACCACCTTACTTCTCCAAGGTCTAAGTGCAGTTTTCACTTTGAAATTTATAACTTTGTAGGGTGCTGAGTTTGACACCATGTGATTATCTTGTCCACCACCTTTTTAAAAATTTAATTTCTTCCCCCCCCCCCC